ATTTAAAACATCTTTTCTACTTATAGGTAACTACAGCATAATATTGTGTAATTGTATTGTATCCGTCCCCGAAAACGGCAAGATTTAGGTATAGGTACTCAAAATTAAAGCACGTATCTATAAAAATTAATTTCAACTTCTAATTTACGGTAAAATAAATTAATTTTAATTTTAAATAGGTATTTAACTACAAAACAAAATTCAAAAAAACTTATAAAATTTAATTTGGCTCTGCAGATAGGAATCGAAATGCACATGAAGATTTAAAAACAAAAACCAATGAATATAATTTATAATGTAAAAATACATATTTTTAACACACAAGTAAGTACTAAAACTGTCCTAGTTTAATATAAATATTGGTATACCTACATGAAAAATCAATATTTAGTTAGAAATGTACAAAACAAAAAACCCGAGAAAGTCTGTGATATCGCATTAATCTTACTTTATACTGAAGTTTTGAAGTAACAAAATATGTAGTGGTCTTATTGATTAAATTAATTTTTACCTATTTTTGTGTCTTCACAGTGAAGTACCATACATTTATGATACCCTTACATATTTAGGGACAGGCATTACATTTGACATTAATCATATTAGTGTATAACAAAATTAGTGATAAAAATCAGAATGTTATTAATTTTGGGGACATGGAACCATCAGTCCCCTTGTGTGAACGTGATAGGGAAAATCCAAAAGGGATATAAAATGTTAATTGGATTCCCAAGCCATGAACGTCTGGTCAGGCCTATGTACCCAATACATTCATCGCTCCTCTCAGAATCTAAAAGTCTAGGTTAAATTCAGATAATATTATGTTTGTAAATTAATCTTTGCTCAAACGTCTACAATCGTATTATATTGAAATTAAATTTATGGAACCAATACATTCATCGCTTCGCTCAAAACCTAAAAGTTTAGATTAAATTAAGCGATTTTATGCTTAAACTGGGATATAGGTACCTACGTTTCTACTCAGACGTCTACAATCGTATTACATTGAAATCAAATTGTATTCTATAGTGTATAGAGTCTACGAATGGCGTGATAATCTGCGGAAACGACCGGAAATACTAAATGCTCTGACTTCGGAGTTGAATATGTCACTATAAAAAATGTACATTCATAAAAAGTTGTAATTTATTATGTGACATACGTGTTTTTAAAATTAAAATGTTTTTACTAAAATAATACTTGTCGAAGAAAATTAGTTCAAAGTAATTCATATATAGGTACATATAGGTACTTCGATTGTAACTATATACTGTCTACATTGACAGTCGACAGAATATTGTTTATAAATTATGAAAATTATTTATGGCTGTCATAAAGCTTATAAGTTATAATACAATATGCATATTTAAACAAAACAATATTAAGTTTGTAAGTTTGTTATACATTTTATATCAAAACGTTACACAATTGTTGGTTTACAATTTAAACACAGAATGATTGTGAGCTATTACACTATAAATGTATATTTACTAAACATTTTATTATAAGGGTGTTTTCAATTGATCTTAATATATGACATTTATTTTCGTTTAACGATGATAATATATTAAAGGTTCGTATTAATATGATAACGGAAGTTTTCAATTAAAAATATAATACAAAATATTCTATTTTTATAAAATATGTGTTTTATTATTTCAACTTCCTTTCCATTTTATGGTATACAGGTACACATGGTATACAATTTACCATTATTTTATTTACTTCGATCCAATATAATAGTGTCAAGTTATGAAAATCAAGGTTCATGAATGTTTTAATAAAATAAATTGATATATTATCACTTATTACTCATTAGCTAGTACAATTATTTGGATTAGTTAGTGAAAATAATCAAATACCTTCAGGGTGTAATGTAGGTTTATTAGTTTATTGTTTACATGAAAAATAAAGTTATACGTATTATACTCACTTGAAAAAGTCACATAAATTATAAATCATTTATAAAATAATATTTGTAAACGTTTCGAGTATACAATATTATAGTGATGAATAAAACGTTTCACGACTCACGAGTATATTCTAAACATCTATAAATCGATTGCATAAAAAGGTACTAGGTAGTGTAGGTATACCTACTAAATCAATAGGTACCAGTAATAAAATAATTATTATTCATAAATATTTACAATTTAACCTAATAAAAATGTAGGGTATCGTGCGTTTCAGTTGGGTACATAAAAAATAAAAACAAACAAAAAAATATAGGTGATATGAACAGGATACAATTTTGGTATTGGACACTCGACTCGCTTCACTACTCCTATTGACACAAACTTGCTGTTCTACTTGAAATGGTATAATTGTTTTTAATTTAAAACAATGGTACCTAAACATCGCATTAAAAAAATAGAGGTTGGTAACAATACTGTTTTTAGGACTTTTTCAATATGTTAACTCTTCTAAAAACAAATGTTTACTAACGTGATTTTTTTTGTATGTATTAGAAGTATATTATTTTGAAATTAAAAACTACTTTAAAATAAAAAAAAAAAAAAATATAAAAATTTAAAATCATTCAAAATTATACATTCATTTTAAACTCTATTCAATCTTCTGCTTAAAGTTGTTACCTCATAAATTACAATTCATGACTTTGAAATTATATTATAAATAATCAGTTCAAATTTTCAAAATTATTTATATTTAGAAATTGCTTTGCTAAACATTGAAACATATTAGTTAATTACTTTATTCAATAACTATATACTTCTTATTTTATCATTTATAGTAGATATGTTATTTGGCTTCAATTTTCACATCAATAATTTAAATTTAGTATCACGTTTGGTGACCAAAAATGAAACAATCAAATGGTTCTGCAATAATATACTATGCATGAATGTGAATTACATAATTTCTAATTTCCCATAAAAAAAATTAGTTACTCAATTTTCCAAGAACAAAAGTACAAATTTGATCTTATATAGGTAACAATAATAATTAATAAACATACTTGGTATACTATTAATATGTTTCTCTCTCTACTCAGAAGTCAGAACCTTAAAATCTTATACCAAACAATACAATTGTTGAATCGACAATATCCAGTTCTAAAGACACGACGTAAAAGTACTTACCAATCACTAAAGCAAAATATGTGGGAGAAATAAAGAAGATAAAAAAATCTTATGAGCGATAGCCATATTTGTTTTTTACTGGATTGAAAAATTTACACTTATGGAATAATTTAAATGTAATCTTTCTTGTATAATATTATGTACCTATACCTATAATTATATTATATTAAACACAACATGCTTCATATAATAAATTCGTTAAAGTAGAAATAAGTAAAAACCTAAATATAACTAAAAGGTACATATATAGACAATATTATGTAGTAGTATTATGATAAAACACTGCAATAAATGCTAAAAAACCGGGTACCTATTCGAAATCAATCATACTTGATATTTTAGTAGGTATTTAAATTTATCGTTTATGCAGTAATTCACAACTGTGCTTGCTTTGCAAGATTAATCAAAATATATTACTAATTACTCAAATTTATTACTCACTATAATGTTTATGTGCTAATTCAACTGTATTGTTTTAATGTAGATCGTAGATTATTTTCAATATTGTATACTTACTCATTTAGTCATTTACAATCGGCATTTTATAGGTACCTATGACTATAAATTAATTGTTAATTGTACTCGACGTCGCGATCCAGTTAGGTTTGTTAGGTACCTATAATATTTAGAACGGTGCCCGATGGAGGAATTAACCGGAAATAGGAAATACAATATGTCAATATCCGGACGGAATATTGTGAAGAACAAAATACCGTTGGTACGTAAAATAATTACTATTTGCAATTAAATAATGTCTATGATGCGTAAACCTATAGTTTTGTAATGATAGCTAAGATTGCCGACGTCATAAGAAACATTATTCATTACAACACGACTAGTACGTATATTCATACACAGGTACGTATTACGTAGGTACAAAGCGTTGGCGTTCTTAATAATATTAGGACAACAATTAAGCCAAAAAAGGGAAACGTTTTAAAACCATCAAAATACGAGTGGGTGTATAGAATATTATTCACACCTATTATAAGCGCCTTCAAACTTCATATTATGTATAATTTAAAATACCTACCTAATCATACATTTATATTGTGCTACGATTATTGTATTCCTTGTCGCGGACGATAGCATATTATTACTTATTAGTTAATTATAATAGTTTTTCAGGTTGATTGTCGCGTTACCGATATCGATGACTACGTTTGGTGAGGGAGGGATGGCATTAAAAGGGGGTTGTCGGGTTGATGGTGAGGGCATATGCGAAAATAAGGTGGAAGTTGACTGGGAAGTCTTTAGCACACCCAACTTCAAAATTATCGTTCCCGAAAATCCGAAATAATCTTAATTTTTACATAGATATTCAATTAAGTATATTGTGTTTTTCGTTTGATGAACGTGAGGGTGCTGCATATATCTCACATAAAAAACGGCTTATTTAATCATAATAATATAATAAATACGTATGTAATGTAGGATGTAGGTACTACTTATGTTGTATTGTACCAAACTACCAATGGTGAACAACAACAAACTGCGATTTTTATTATTACTACCTATTATTGTAGTCGTTTATTACCTATACCTTACAATACCGGCTCGGCACTGTTGGCCAACCTGCCGGTCCGTTTGAACCTTCTAGCCGCCGCCGCCGCCGATTTTCAAAACGAGTAGAAACGACAAACACCACTGCGGCACACACGCACGACTACGAGCAGGCCGCCGGTCGGCACAGCGGTTCAGTAATCAGCCGGCCACCGAACGTCGCGGACGTGTTCTGCGTATGTAAACGTGCGTGCGTCATATCATCGTAAATTTATCGTGTATCCGTGAGTGCTGCGTGAGTGCGATGAAATCTTGTGGGACGCCAGCCGCAGCCGTCGTCTTCGTCAGTCAACGTGCCCGGTGACCGGTCCTGTCCGTTACGCGTTACGTCCCCTCGCCATGCCGTTCGTGCAACGTGCCGTGGGCCCGGTCCACCTGAGCAGGGTGAAGCTGCACGACGAAAGCGGCGTGCCCACGGTCCGAGACCGCGAGCTGGACGCCGTCACCAACTTCGCACTGAGCAACGCACTTCGGCAGATGGCCTCGGTGGCCGCGCTCGCCGACGAGGTGTTCCGCGAACTCCGTGACCAGCTAGCCGACGTGGCCACCAGGTCGGCGGGTCTCAAGCGCCGCGTCCAAGCCCTCAGCCACTTGGTCGACCACGCCGATCCCAAAGCCGTCACAGTTCGTAAGTCCAAAAAGTCGTCTATACTCAACATAACGTTTGCTTTACTTAAAGCAGTAGCACGTGCAGGGGTGAGGGGAGGTTACAGGTCACGACCCTCCCCCCCCAAAATAAAAGGTTTCTTTCATGAAAATGTATTTCTACGAAATTCCCCTAGACTCTAATATCGAATCAGTAGGTAATATGAAATTTCATGCACAATCCCCTCAGGAAAAAAATTCTGTGTATGACCTGCAGTGTAGTGACTGACTTATTACAGGGCTATGTAGGTAGGTACTGCTGTCGTCGGTGTCATGGATTTTGATTTCAGGTCAATAGTTCGATACACTGGGCAGTGTATTATTATATTTTAAGGACAATACTTAGGTATGCCTGGTTATAGAACCATAGGATCAAGTGGGTATACGGTCTAGTGGTATAAGCGAGTACTGGATAAATTCGCAAATGCGTTTAAACGGGATCGAAGGGGGGGGAGGGTAAACAAATACGATGTACTATTACATAATATACTATATTTATGTACCCACATAGATGCTAGCCCGGTGGAGTGTGGGCTCAATTCGGTTTTTATTTTTAATAGCATTTTAACTGAACAACAGTAATATCGTAACTACGCAGTTTTATATATATTTATGGTTTTGGCGGGAAAAAAACGGGACTGTTGAGAGCACCGAGGCACGTTTCGAGGAGGAGACATGACCCAAAATTATACCCTTCGATTTATTTAATTTTTTTTTGTTTTGTTTTGTTTCGTCAACGTGCGGTCTACAGCGCGCAGTAAACCCATATACTCACATATGTTTCAAAATCCGGTCCCTATATAATATAACAACATATTTCGGGGTTCACACGCCATGAAACCACTTGGGCCGAAACGCGTGTGTTTATAATATAATTTTTATTGATTCTCCGTAGTGGATATGGTTCGTGCCGTCGTTATTTTTTAACCGTTTTGTTTTTTAACAATCAACGGTTTATTGTTAAATAAATTATAATGAATGAACATCGGAAGTTAATTAATGGTTAAGTAGATGTGTCTGTACGTAATAGCGCCGATAACTAATAGGTATTACGAGACGGTCAGAAAAAGCGTTTCACTGATATAATATCAGTTGTAACTTATAATTACTAATTAGAAATAAATATATACATGTTGGAACATTATTTTAGATGTACTATGTACATTTATTTAATTATACAGGTAGCGTCAGGAATAGTGAAGAGTATGTACGTTCTCAGGTGCAATTCATGATTAATAACGAACGTTATTCTCCCAAGGCTGTTGGTGAATATACGTATTACTGAATATAACGTATTTTATTTTAAAACATAAAATACTGTTAAGACATTTACATTTTTTAATATCAAAAATAACAAAAGATTATAAGTCGAAAATTGCTGTGAAGACATTCGTTCTGTATAATATAGTTTATAGGTACATAAATAAGGCATGCTATTTATTTCCATATCAACGGTAAAGATAATAGGTGTCTATAGCTACAATGGTCCTACTTTTATCAATCAATTAACACGTCGTCGTGGTCGTCTGTTGTACAGCGATAATTATAATTGTTGTGTTATCCGTATGATTGCATCGTATGATAATAAGATAATATATTATAAGCTGGTTTCAGCGCTGGCTATGACAGTTGAAAATTCAAAAACTAGCCATGTACACTAAATGTATATTATAATAATATATTATATTGTTAACATTATAATATAATATGTTGTTCGTATTCTACACGCAAGCACACGGTCTGACGGTTATATTTCCGACCTTATTTTATTATTATTATTATTATTTTATTATTTTCGACTACAGGTTTATGCCAACCAGCAGTGTGCAGCAGTGCAGCTGGTGTCGGTTATTAAAAACAGCAGGGCTGTATTATACAAAAATGGGGCTCACTAAAAAAAAAAAAAAATAAATAAACCGGATCTATGTACCGACGTAGTATTGTAGGGAGTAACGACACCCTTTGAATTCGGAGACTCTTAACGGACAAAACGGACCGGATGGATGACCGTTTAAATGAATTTATAATTAGTCGAATCTGGAACGGTCCCAGTGAACAGATTTTGCATCGTCCGAGGTTGTAAATATAATAATTTTGCACACTCACAAATTTCTGTAGGTCACGCGCGCGTATCGTGCAGATATTGTATTGCATTTACGTTATAAATTATAATATAGCACGAGCAACATAAACATCATATATAATAATAATATAAGCGCCGTGTAGAAATGATTTATAATATGTAAAATGCGAAAAGAAATCATTAAAGATCATTTGAGTACACGGTTCAGCGCAATTTTGAATTATATTCTTTATAACGGCCTGCAAATAGTCGTATACATATTTTATTCATTAAACTATTATAGATAGGTCATAGGTATCTGTTGTATACATATATATATAATAATATATATATAATAAATACAATATAGGATTATGTGTACTAAGGGTCGGACATAGATGACGTAGACACAAGCATACGGTAATCACAGGGGCAGCAATTCTTTATGAACGATACAATTAATTATAAGGGCGGCAAAATGTAATTTTGTCATGCGTAAAGAATCACTTCGCTAACCTTGTACCTATGTCGTTATTATAACTTTTTATATTTTCTATAGTAAGTATAGATATACCTATGACGTTGTATAATTTTCCATACCAAATTCTTAATTTTGATTTTTAAGCATAAGTATTGTTGAGTTGTCACACATAGTCATAATCACTAAGAATCGTATTTAATGAACTTTCGAAATGCAAATTCATAAAAGTACTATGTATTGTTATTCAATATTTAAAATTATTCGCCTCCGTAATTATTGAACATAATGTACGAGTAATTACATTTTCTTAAACTACAACAGACTTCAAAATGCTTAAGCGTACAATATTGTGCAAATTATAATCATAATAGTGTATTTTGTATTAAAAATTTAAACCTTTTATTCTTAATGTTAGCGATTCTTGAGCTTCTATATAGCTTAGTACCTACTTATTAAAAATTAATATTAATTATTTCAAAACTATATTCGTTGTCTTTATAGCAAAAATTGTTATGCTCTATAAAGATTTTAAATAAATACATTTTGAACGTAGCAGGTATAGTTTTTAATGAACATGTAAAAATGTTGCTATAAAATGAAAATCTAAGAATGAAATTCAACGCTACGATACAGATACTACTGTATTCATTTTATAATGGATTAATTTGCCTCGGGTCCAAAGTGCAGTTGCAGGTCTCACAAAAAGTACGTTTTCCATGCCTTGACTGAGGTAGATAATGAATTGACGTGTGACGTGCTCTTGAGTGCGTGACATTCCACCGTGTTCCATAATTTATTTTGAATAATTAATTATCTCATATGTTTACAGTTATCCATTTATCCGAATTTTATAAAGTTCAATGATATATTATGTAGCCGAATGTGGGCCGTTAAATACTAATGTAAAACCTGGTGTAAAACAAAAACCAGACAATGACGCCAACGGGGTAGGAATGTTGGGTGACAGTGGTTTCGACTTTTAATCTTGACGAGATTACAGGACTGTATGAATGCATTACACAACTACAATTGTCTACTGCAGACGCCATTAGGACGGTGGTGCCATACTATTATTATTATTATTATTATTATTCTTGTTATTTTTTTTATCGGCCATTAGCCTTGGACGTTCATTCGAAGACTAATCGCATCTCCCGTGAGTGACGTTAATTAAAATGCATACTTTCATTACACATATATACCTACAGTGTTCGTCGACACCTCGTTCGTCGTATACCGTGGTAGTGTGTGACATAGCATTATACTCGCGTATAAACAGCTCATTTCCATCAAGTTATTTTGTTAACTGTGTAAAAGTGTATTTCGGGGTGTGTGTTTGTGTGTGTTTGTGCACGTGGCAGACAGCAGAAGCCGTACTCGTGATGCTGGGAAACCATAGGTGAACAGGGTACGTTACAATGTATAAACGTCAACTCTTCTCTACCGTCGGAATGATTGGGTTTCAACGAAATTCCTGGTAAAAAATGTAATTTCTTTTTTTTTAACTTGTAAACTATATCTCTGTCACCCTCTGAGAGTGGAATACGTATATTATATATGGAGAAACCTTTGCAAGTATTGCAAGGGGTAAAAAATATACGGTGGATACATAATATATTAGTATAGGTTTTTCGGAAAGCGCTAAAGTTACTATCAACATGTGTAAATTGAAGGGATGAATAGAATAGATACGCCATACGACGTGTGTTTTGTACGTGTACATTATATACACCTAGAAACCGTATAATCGATTGTATGTCAAAATAATTATTAGAAAACAATATCGAAATCAGTCGCACGTTTTCATACATGTACCCCTCGTCCAAAAATAATTTTAAAAATAACCATTGAACTCATATATTATTTAATTCATATTCAAAGACCTTTAATCACACATCCCCTAAGTATTTATATATTATATTGTTTATGTATTTGAAATATGTACGTTTTATTTTTTAGCTACAGATAATGTGGTTATAAAAGTATATTTTGAATGCGTCGTAAAAGGGAGATGGTACCTACGTTAATAGGTTTGTGAAGGGGATTATAAAAAAACTGCCGTTAAGCACGTTCATCATTGATTCTAAGTAAAAAAAACAAATACAAGAGGCATATTATTTATTTCCTCTACGTTTGGTAACTATGACTACCGGAAGTTAATCAAACAAAATGTTCATATCACACTTTGAAAATATGCCTACCAACAATTATAATTAAAACTAAAATATATTTATTTGTTTGTTTTCCGAACGACGCTCGCTTGGAGTGTATAGTGAAAAGATCATTTTTGTGAACAATAGCCATACGTATAATAGCTTTCATCGCGTTGATATTTCGTGTACCTATTAAATATAATTATGTATGTACATAGACTCATATTATATACTTGAAACGCTACGCTTAAAATGTTAAACGTTTCATGACTATTGCGTCTACCATA